TTATTTTGGTACTGGGGATCAAACTCAGGCCCTTGCGCTTGCAAGGCAGGTAGTGGAACCACTGAGCCAACTCCCCGGCTCAATTGTTACAGTTTTTAGTCTCCTAATTTACCACTTCCATCCTTGGAAACCCATACTCAACTGAATTTATAGGGTCCATAAAGTTAAGATTTGTCTTCTTTCATTGCAACCTTACAAGCTGTCATCTTCTTTAATCTCATTTATTTATAGCATTGAGTCACCTCCAGACTCTCTTACTAAAGACTTCCTTTAGTCTCTTAAAGTGAAGTATTCAGTTCCACATTCAGCTCCTCTTGTAGCAACTGTTGTTTATAGTAAGGCATTTCATCTGGTCGACTGTGTAGGTGAACACATTTAAGCATTGGGAGCTTAAACACTGTTTAATATTTGTTAATATAATTACACCCTGCCTCACTCTCCAACTCCTTACCACGTTCTATTTTGTAACAAAACAGAAAAACACAACGACAAACTTGCTTGACAGTGATGATCAGCAGTAAGATGTCCATGGACTGCTTGCATATAGATCTGCTCAGAGCTTCAAAATTTTTGAGAGTGAAGCCAGGGATGTCTTGTTTGTGTGTGTGTTTTTTTTTTAAGCAAGTTCTTCAGATTCTTTTAATGCATAGAAAAAAGTGAGGACCACGAGGGTAGAAGAAAATGTGAAGTTTGGGGTCAGACAAGCCTAGGGTAGGTTACTTATTCTTTCTGAGTTTTATATGTCCAGTTGTAAATAAGAGTTTTTATACCTGTGTTGTTATGTAATTAAAAATAATGCATTTAAAGCTTTTAGTGCAGTGTCTTACTAGTTTTCTGTAAATGTAATTATGGATTTATGTATTACTGTTGTTGATGGTATGCTGTATCCAGGTGGAGATGAGTTAGAAGAACTGGTTTCAAAGTGACCTTAATTTACATAAGGCTTGTGAATAAACAGCCTAATTCAGTTGTTATGAATCTGAGCTGTAATGCTCATAAACAATTTTTATCATCTCATATGTACAGAACTAGTAGGTTTTTAATATTTATTGTACATTTCACTCTTTCAAGAGTATCTTTTCCCTTTCAGGTTGTTATATTAAGAAAATATTACTACTTGTAGTACCTATTCAATATGGAAATAAAATACTGTATACAAAATATTCATATTTAAATATTGTGTCTGTTGTTTAGGTTCAGATTATAATAATTGGTTTAAAAATACAGCAGTGAATTAGTGTATGCTACATTGCTTAGTGATTAATCTGTATGTAAGTCTTCATTTAAAAGCACTATGTGGGCCAGGGATTTAGCTCAGTGGTGCTGCTGCCTGCCTTGCAAGTGCAAGGACCCGAGTTCAATCCCTAGTAGCCCCCCCAAAATAAAAGCACTATGTATAGAATTAACATGCTAAAAAAACTTTTTCAAATCTATCTGAGTGTAATTATATTAATGAATATTAAATAGTGTTTAATGTTCTCAGTTTTCATGATGAGCAATTTAGGAACAATACTAAGCATCAGTAAAGCTCTGAATAAAATTTAAAAGGAAAATAGATAATAGCAACCATTACCGAATTAGCTGTGGAGTTTGTCCTGTGTTTTAAATTATCTTTTTATAAAGTTTTGTTAACATTTGAAGCTGAGGTATGTGGAACAACTTTTCCCCTAGTAATTCTTGATAAATTGTCAGAGTAGAAAGCACTGCAATTTCTTTATATTTTAGAAATCAACATTATATTAGAATGCATATGCACACAGACACACCCATAAGTGTACCATATACAAACTCAATCCTTTTCCAGTACTCAAGGCTTCCTTACCACATTTCCTCCGAGGTATGGGAAAATTACTACCTCGATTACACCTGTCATCTACACATCCCATGCCAACAGGCAAGCAGCTAAATTGTTGTACTGTCTGACCTCGCATTAAAGTTCTGAAGACACACTTTTACTTTAAGGAAGTACTAGAAGCTATCTCAGAAATATTCTTTCATTTTTTTCCTCCACCATATTTATTCAGCTATGTGGTTTTACTCCTAACCCTGCCTTTCCTCCTTATAATATGAAAGATGCATTTCTGCTGCTATCCAATATCAGCTTCTCCATTTGCAATGCATATCATAACTCTTTGTTCTTTTGCATATTATCTTTTCCCTTTCTAATATTAAGAGGTTCTCTGAATCACTCCCACCAGCACAATTTGCTCTCATGTTTCTTTAAGCATTGTGCAATCCTTTTGCTCCATGTCTCTCTCCAGATGTTGACTCCTTTTTATAATGCCTTCTTCAGACTTTTAGAAAGAATTGTCATTACTTGTACTTCATGTCATACTCTTTCAACATTCTGTATGTGTGCTTTCATTCGTACAGTTCTGTGAAACTGCTTTTGTTGAAGTTAAAAATTATCTCCATGCTGCCAAATCTGTTGTCACTTTGCTGCTCATTTTTTACCTAAGGATAACTCTTTCCTCAATTTTTTTCTTCTTTAGAGTATTCTTTAATACTACAGTATTCTTCCTTGGGTTTTTTTTTTCTCTCTCTTTAATTGAGTTTATTGGTACATTCTAGGGATACAGTACAGTTACATTCATTGTTGGGAGTTCCTTGGCTTTTCTTCTGCTTTATTGTCAATTCCACTTAGTCTCTTTATTAAATTTGTAATATCCTAGGTCCCTTTCTGACTTCAAGTTTTTCTGCTGTGCTTTTGTTTTTGTTTTTTGAGGCAGTGTCTTGATATATATTCTAGGCTGGCCTTGAACTCGAACTCACTATGTATTCCAGGCTGGCATTGAACTCAGTAATCCTTTTTTCCCAGAATCCCAAATACTGGGATTACAATTGTGAGCCCACACCTGGCCTGACTTCAAATTTTTTCCATCCACATACTTTTTAGATGACTTCATCCTATAGTTGCCTTACTTTACATACCATTTATTTATTCAAATGACTAAAGTTTATATTTCCAGTCCTGACTTAGTCTAAGCATTCCTACTGAAGTAGCTGACCAGAGAAACTTCCACTTAGACATTCACACTTACATATTATTTTAGATTTTTTTTGTTGTTGTTTTTTGAGACAGGGTCTCACTATGTAGTTGAAACTGACCTGGAACGCACTATGTAGCTCAGACTGGTCTCGAACTCACAGCGATCCTCCTGCCTCAGCCTCCCGAGTGCTGGGATTACAGGTGTGCACCACCATGCCTGGCCTTATTTTAGATTTTCTTGAGCAAAATAGAATTTCCTTCTAACTGCCAATTCTGTCTTTTCTTCATCTCTCTTTTCTAATAGCATTATCATCCAATAAACATCTTGTAGATTTTGCTTCTTAATTACATGCTAGTTTAATTTTTCTAACCCTACTATATAGTACATAGCTGTTAAGAGGTAGTTCTAGAAATCAGGCTGCCTGTGCTCGAGTATCAGTTGTCTGTGTACAGTTTCCATGACCTGGAATTATCACTTTTACTACCATCCTAATTCAGGCTTTAGTTACCTCTTACTGGACGACTACATAACCCTTCTAATTATTTTCCTTCTCTATGTTCATGTCTTCTACTCCATCCTATCCCATAATCTATCCCACAGACTGTCTATCCATAGTAGACAGAATGATCTTTCTCAAACATAAATGTTATTAAGTTGACTCTTAGGCCTAAAACAGTTTGACAGCCTTGTACTGATAATGCTTGCTTTAAAATCAGGCTTTTTTCCATGTCTTATGAAGCTTTACACCTGGCTCTTGCTGGCTTCTTATAAACTCATGTCTTATCCCACTGTTTTATCAATTATGCCCCACTATACTGTCACTTTTCTTTAGTGAAGTCATACCTTCTTGTGGTCTCCTTACTGGTGCTGTTTGCTTTTTATGCCTGGAATGTACCCTCATTTGTATTCATTATACATATCTTTACTTAAATACTACCTTTCAGAAAGTCCTTCACTGATTCCCACCATAATGAAGCCATCCTGACAGCCTCTGTATCATATCATCATCATTATTTTAAGTCTCAGCCTGTAACTTAACATTATCTTATATTTGTACTTATTCATTATCTGCCTTCTCCACTAGAATATAGATTCAACTATATCCCCAACCCATACTGTAGTGCCTGAAATTATTAAAAGTGATGTCAGCACATTCAAAATCATAATTACTTTGTATTTTTATCTGCCAAATTCATTGATCTATTATAGTATCCTGAATGGCTCCAAGTTCAAGAAGACAATGCCTTAGTTGATTATTAGGCCTTCGACTTAATTCAGCTACAAGTTACCAGTTAGATTCTCAAGTATTTAGTTGAGTTTTCCTGGGATTTGTTAACTGCTGAGTTAATTTACCTACAAGAGAATAAAAGATTTAATGTGTATTTTGGTTTGATTTTGCTTTATTGCAGCATCCTTAGAGATCTTGTTTTATGTAATTCTTATCTATCAAAATATTCTCAAGTGAATGAAATGGATTGCTTAAGCAGTCATCATTTAATTGAATATTCATCTTGTTAAAGTATTGAAAGTTCAAGAAATGTGTAATAGCTCTCATTAAAAACTTCCCATTTTCCTTGATAAAACATATCATTTACTTCTTTAGGCATTTGTTTTCCAGCAACTTCAAGCTGATGGAAAATTAATACCTGATTAGAAACTCAAGATCATTCATCTTCTTTTTTTTTCACTTTTCTTTTTTGGTACTGGAAATAGAACTCAAGGACTTGCTCTTGCCAGCCAGGCAGGTGCTGTGCCACTGAGCTACATTCCCGGCCCTCTTCTTATTGTAATAGCCCATAAATTGAAGATAGCCATATCATTTTTACTTTAAATACAGATTTGTCTAATATCCCTAACATCAGAAGTTTCTGCAGTTCACGTTGGTATTAGTTAAAGGAGAAACTTATGATTTAACTGATAAAATGTGTGTGAATGAAGAAACACAATATAAGAATTGAGATGTGGGATATCCTTCACTCCGAAGCTGGAGAAGTTTCTAAACTAGCTTCTTTATTTTGAGCTGCAACATGGACAACACCAGCAACACAATGCCCTGCATGGATTTCTTCTTTTGTATTTTACAGCTAGTCCAAATTTCTCTTTAGTATTGTTAACATAATCTTTTGTACTATTCACTATCATTTCAATATTATTGAGGCTCTCTCCTTGTTCTTCTACTAAAAGAGATATCTGAATAAAAAGATCCCTTAAGTCCTTTATTTCGTTCTCCAAATTAACAAGTTCTTTATGTCTCTGTTCAATTTCTGAGAGTTGTGCTTTTGTGATATTTATTTCTGTAAGTAAGCTCTCATTAAAAACTTCCCATTTTCCTTGATAAAGCATATCATTTACTTCTTCTTCAGGCAGTTGTTTTTCAGCAACTTCAAGCTGACGGAAAATAAATGTCTTGCATTTGTCTTGCTTTGCTGTTATTGTGTCATTGTACATAAACATGGTTTGCTGAAAATGATGGACCATCGCAGCATGCTGAGATTTAAGTATCCTTGTCACCACTGAGGATGGTCCATTTTCAATCTCTGACTTTTTAACTTGTTTAACTAACTCACCCAGATTTCTGTTAATGTGTTCTGCTTGGGTTTTTATCTCCTTTGTAATGCTAGACTCTCTTTTAAGTAGACTAAATCTTCTCATTGAAGCCACCAGACTTTTCTGCTGCTGTCCAAATTTTTGCACATCATCTGTGAAATTGTTAATAGTCTCCTGTAGTTTTTGGATCTCGTGTAGGTGTCTCTGGGCAACAGGCTCTCTTTCATAAATAACAGCTTGTTGCTCATGTGTCCCTTGTTCCTCTGTTTCGGTAGCCAACACGTGACTGTCTCTAGAGAGTTCTAATTCCTTTGTTCTCTGCTTTAATTCTTGAAGTCGGTCTTTCATCTTCCCTTTCCTGATAAGAAGCAAAAAATATCATATTGAACTAAGAGAAATTTAGTGTTTTTCATGAGTACTTGTTTGTTTGATTTAGATATTTCAGTTTTGAAGATGAGGAGCTGTGTGGGACTATAAGTAGCTCATTGGATCACATATAATATTAGTAACAATCAAAGAAAAATGTCTCTAATGTTATGCTATGGGGACTCAGTGTTTGACTTGTTTTTTTGGTTTTTTTTTTTGGTTTTTTTTTTTTTTTTTTGTACCAGGGATCAAATTCTGGCCCTTGCGCTTTCAAGGCAGGCAGCAGAACCACTGAGCCAAATCCCCAGCCCAGTGTTTGATGTTTACACAGACACTTTTAGTAATGATTTGGATTTTGTATGTTGTAATAAAAAACATGTTAATTAAATATATGGTTGGGTGGAATTTGGAGGGATCTTTAGTATGTTGAAATGAACAGTTGGGTTTCAAAGGTTGTAATAGCATTGAAAACTGTACTAAAAGTAATCAATTAGATGTAAAATATTTCAGTGAATTGTTTGAAAACATGTTTGGATCTAGACAGTGGAGTACTATTGGGTTCATAAAAGTGTCTACAAAAGTATTGGATCTTTTAATATCAACTTTATTATACCTATCAAAATAGTTACACTTTTACAAGTAATGGTATAATATAATGTCTAAATAGACTTAGATGTCTTGCTATAGTAACTGTGGTACTCAGAGTATACTTGGGTGGGACTACATTAAATTCTAAGCATGCTTTGAGACAGAAATTCATAAATTGGGAATTTCCAAACTGAGATTGAAAAAAATTGAGATTGGAAAACCTTATCAAATGGCAAATCAGTGAAAGGAATGAAAAATAAGATGTAAGGAATATATGCAACAATCTTCTGGAATATAAATATCTATATATACAAATTGAATTAGATTTACTGGGCATAACTCCAGAGGACAGTAGGTAGTAATTATATAGAGTTTAATTCAGTATAAAGATGACATTACAAGGTAGAAGAGCTGTTCCAGGATGAAATGAATGCTTCATGAGGTGATCAGCTGCATCAACAAAGATGTTCAAGGTGGTCTTGAATGATGACCCAACAAAGAATGTTATAGAAAAGATCTGTGCATTGGGATTAAAATTAAACCAGTCTACTGACAATAATCCTTTGATTTTAAAGGCCTGGCATTTAGTCAAATAATTATCGATGTCTACTTTATGCAAACTTCTAAGTGCTTCAGTATACATATAAGAACATCTATCTGTGTTTGAGGAATTTTCATTCTATAAGGAAATGAACAATATAGAATTAAAGAGATAAGTGATAAATTTTAGGTCTTGATAGAACAGTCAGAAAAGGTCTATACGGAGATATTTGAGCTGTGTTACCTAAATATTGAGAAGCCAACCAGAAGAGGCAAGGGTATAGGAGACTGGGAGCCATGGTAATGCAATGAGACAAATATGTTTTCAAAACAAAATTAATTTTTGTGTATATAAAAATAACAAGAAGAGTAAGTTAAAATAACGAAGTCAGAAAGGTGGGAAGGGACCAGATCACAATGGGCTTGTGAGCCAAATCAAGAGTTTAGATTTTATTCTAGATTCAGTAGAAGACAAAAGATACATAGGGTATTGGCATGATTTTTTTTTTCCCAGTACTGGGGATTGAACACAGGACCTTGTGTTGGCAAGGCAGGCACAACACCACTCAGCTAAATCCCTGGCCCTTGGAATGATTTGTTTATAAAAGATGTCGTAGCTGGTTATATAAGAAACTGTGTACCAATGTGGGAAAAACAGTTCACAGGAGAGACTTGGATGAGAAAATGAAGATAGAATAAATGAGAATGATCAGAATATATTTTTGAAGGTAAAATAAATAGTACTTGATGGTTTCAACCTATCAGGGTTTAACACAGATTTTAACATTAGCACCATTATTTCTTGAAACAAATAATAGAAAAGTGTTTTTCTTGGTTTTCCTCTTACCTCTTTCGCTCTTTCCCACCTGGCTTCTCTTCTTTCTTACCTCTGAATTTTGGAATGTTTCCAGTCTCTATTTTTTTTTTTTTTTTTTTTTTTTTTTTTTTTTTT